TTTCAGGTCGAAATATCGTGATTAGTGTTTTTGGTAGATACCATGCAATAGGCTAAAATTCCAGTATAATGACTGTAACTCTGGAGGGAAGGCCCATCAGCACATAGCGTTTTGCGGTTTTTTATACTTCACCAGGGTCTATCTAATACACATGCTCCGAACTTGAAAGCTGCTTGACAGTACAAACCGTTCCATTGCAAGATACGTTTTGATAAGACGTAAAACAGAGAATGTCCTTTCTACGGACGCTGTTGTGACCGGTAACGTGGAGAAGATTTGAAGTAATGTTTTGACGTTGGGAAATAATTTTTCATCACATACATTGTACGCGTCAATAGCTGTTTGTGGTCGTTCGGTCATATTATCGCATTTTAATTTCCATCATGAATATTCTGCTTGATGAATAACCATATTACCACCGTCGGGTAATACATCATGATATAGCTGAAGTGACGGTATTAATTCATTGAATGGTTTTAAATATGCTGGTATTAGTGAAGATATTGTTAATGCTTGTTTGACATGATCTGAGAAACGATCTGTTATTGATGTAATTAAATAATAGAGAATTGGAATAAAACAATTCAATTTGAAGTGTTCTTTTGCATCTTTAGCTGGCACATTATTTCTATGAACCTAGAAAAGCGAACATTTATTCTCCCACGAAAAATTAGGAGATACGGAAGCGGTTTCTTCGCCTACTTGTCGTTTAGTTATGCGAGGCATATCAATTCTTGAATCAGTATATTGAGCTAGTTCAATTGCTCCTTCGAAAATGTCATCGTATTCAACATCCGGATCTTTTCGTATTTCGTTCAATATGAATACTATATCTTCAATCGCATCTTTACAGTGCATTAAATCGATTGACTTATCTTTCACATTTTCTATGTATGGAAGGGAGATAAACAGCTACAATTATATGCATATAAGTGCGTAAACACTCACTCGAAATGATAAGGGTAAATGATAATAATTTATTTAATGTGAGCAATGTGATTATAAAACCAGATCCAATTAATGCTGTGTGATAATTGATACCTAATGCCAACGAATCAGAAGGTCTAATAGCAGTAACTTCATCGAGTAAATCAATTATTGATTCGTATAGTGAATAAAATGTTTGAACGGATTCATATCGTTCATTCCAGCGAGTAGGACACATATTAATCAATTTCTTTTTGGTCGATTTACTTTGTGTTATTATTTAATATTTGAGTACGAACGCTTGACAAACGAAAAAAATTATAAATTTGTTTAATGTTTCCAAGTGCATTTTGTACAACTGTCAAATCACAACCGTCAGAAATGGCAAGATTGAAACTATGTGACGCGCAATGAACGTAAAGGACTCAAGGATATTTTTGTGAAATAATGGCTTGTACACCTTTATGTAATCCTACGTTTTAAAGAAAAAACGTGCATTTGACGTCTAATTTTCTACTCTAACGCCCTACCACTCATTGCACTACAACCATCATAACCTTGATCCACACAATTATTCATGTCGAGACCTCAATGTATCGTCACAATTAAGAGGATACATGTAAACACGTCACTAATTCAACTAACTAACCTAATGAACTAATTTCTTGTAAGAATAATGTCACTAAACCTAGGGTTCGCTACATCTTTTCGTACTACAAATTTTCTCATCTTCGTCCTTGTTGTCCCTGTAACCTAAGTTCGTAGAAACTAGCGAAAAAGGAGTTTTACGAAATTTGGGGTTTTCAGGCTGTTTTCACTGAATATTTAAAAATTCACTGTTCGCTCAAAATACATCAGAACGAGTTCTAAACTTCAGAATGTAAAGTATTTAGGCTGTTCTGTATCATATTCACAGGATATCTAGAAAGAGATTTTACGGAACTCTAAGGTTTTCGCGAAAGGTTTTCTGGAAAACCCATTAACAAAAATATGCTTTTTGGATTTTTCCATCTTATAATCAAGTTTAGCGGACAGCATTGACCATATCCTAAAGTTTTGAACTAGTTCTGATGTATTTTGAGCGAACAGTGAGTTTTTAAATATTAAATGAAAACAGCCTGAAAACCTCAATTTTCGTAAAACTGCTTTTTCGATAGTTTCTAAGAACTTTTTCTAAAAGCAAATATTGTCGTGAGACTCAACATGATTGATTACCCATAGTCTATTCGTTCTCAAGGCTACGAACAGTCAGCAGGTGGTAGTCCTGGGACTCGTAGGAAATCCGATACAGCGCCCAAGCCGCGGAAAATCAAGGTCCCGTTTGGCTCCCGTCTTCAAGAGGAGATCCCGGGCTATCAGCCCATGGAAAAAATCAATACAATCCTATTCGAAAATTTTTACACACGACCTGATTTTTCAAAGATCTCCTAGAAAACCTGTTTCAGAAAACTCTTCAGAAAATAATTATGCTTGTGTAAACATGTCTACAAGTCTTTTCTTTCGTATGGAAAAAATCGGAACTCTCTGGCTGCTTTCTATCAAAAGTTATTCAAATAACGCCCACGGTTGTTCTATTTTGGCGTTTTTCTCAAAACTCGTTTTTGTTCGAACATGCCCAGTGTGGAACCCTTTCTTTAAATATACTTCAAGCTAGAGATTTCGGGTTGGTTTTATTTTAAATTTCTCATATATTTCCATCGATATAGTGCAATATTCCGCAGTAAAAGCAAAACTATCTTTCATATAATAATACCATCCGATGCCGTGGTATAAACTAGCAACTTCTCTTTTCTTATCCAACTTTTGTGGTTTTCCACTTATGTTAAGATTGAATTTACAACATAGCATATATTCTGCGATTTTATATCGTTTTGATCGAATTTGAGTGAGTTGTAATTCTTTTGTTGTTAGATGAACATAGCTCAACCTACTCATTTAGCGGATAACTCGCTTTTCTCTCGGCCTCCACTCTCAAGTCTTGATGAAATTGGATGATCCTTTTGAAAGTGTAGATAATAGATACGGAGCGATGACGAGGCAGCAAGTTTGTCAAGGTGATCCCGGCGAGTGAGCCAAAGATAGTCCATCACCCACGCCTGTTAAGCATACCATTGGATTCCATACTAGAGCCCTGCACGTCACACGTAACCTGTCCTAACTGGTCCTGTCCAGTTCTTTTCATCGGAAAATCCATTGGAGCACATCACTAGCCGTAGCTTTTCATGTTGATCACGAACCTGACCTTTCTTTTGACGGAAAAATTAATTTTCAATAGAAAAAGTTTAATTTAAAGGTTTTAAAAATTTTTTTAATTTCAATTTTCTGACCCGCACATTTTGTTCAAAAAATTTTAAAAACATACCATTGAATAGAGAATTTAGTTCTCACAAAATGGCTCATTTGTTTTGAGATCTATTTTTCAATCGAGACACAGGGGCTGGTTGACCAAAACAAATGGAACATAGGTTCTCGACCATCCTGCACCTCGCAATAATGTTTGTTTTTCGAAAATATGCAAAAGCCGAGTGAAAAGCGAGTTATCCCCTAAATGAGGAGGTTGAGCTATGTCCACCTAACAACAAAAGAATTACAACTCACTCAGATTCGATCAAAACGACATGAAAATCGCAGGATATATGCTATGTTGTAAATTCAATCTTAACATGAATGGAAAACCACAAAAGTTGGATAAGAAAAGAGAAGTTGCTAGTTTATACCACGGCATCGGATGGTATTATTATATGAAAGATAGTTTTGCTTTTACTGCGGAATATTGCACTATATCGATGG